AACAGTATTCATTCATTTATTAATTCAGGAATGGATAAAGATATGGGCAGACATACATTTTAAATTAGCTGTAAATTTGAATAAACCTTTATAAACTTGACATTTTAGCATCATATAAAAATTATTTTGAACCAGGGATGAATCATATATATAGCATGTTGTAAAAATATAACTTTGAATTTAAAAATCCATACCTATTTAAAATGAGACTTCTTGATTTTTTAGTCTAAAAGGAGATAAAATAAACAGAATTAATCATGATTCTAACAGATTTAGTGTGTCTGGTTTTATGTTGAGGTCTGTGATCCACTTGAACTTTAGTTTTGTGCAGGGTGATAAATATGGATCTATTTGCATTTTTCTACATGTAGACTACCAGTTAGACCAGCACCATTTATTGAAGATGCTATCTCTTTTCCATTGTATGGTTTTGGCTTCTTTGTCAAAAATCAAGTATCCATAGGTGTGTGGGTTTATTTCTGGATCTTTGATTTGATTCCTTTGATCCACCAGTCTGTTTCTATGCCAGTACCTTGCAGTTTTTGTTACTATTGCTCTATAGTACAACTTAAAATCAGGGATGGAGATACCTCCAGAAGATCTTTTATTGTTCAGGGTTGTTTTTAGCTATTCTGGGTTTTTTGTTTTTTCATATAAAGAACAATTGCTCTTTCAAGCTCTGTACAGAATTGTATTGGTATTTTCATGGGAATTGCATTGAATCTGTAGATTGCTTTTGGTTGGATGGCCATTTTCACTATGTTAATCCTACTGATCTATCAGCATGGCAGGCCTTTCCATTTTCTGATTTCTTCTTCAATTTCTTTTTTCACACATTTGAAGTTTTTTTTCATCCAGGTCTCTCACTTGCTTGGTTAGAGTCACACCAAAGTACCTTATGTTATTTTTGGCTATTGTGAAGGGAGTTGTTTCCCTAATTTATTTCTCAGCCCATTTTTCTTTTGTATACCAGAGGGCTACTGAAGTTTTTTTTTTTTAGTTGATTTCGTATCCAGCCACTTTGCTGAAGGTGTTTATCAGCTGGAGGAGTTCTCTGGTAGAATTTTTGGGATCCCTCATGTATCCTATCATATCATCTGTGAATAGTGATATGTTGACCTCTTCCTTTTTGATTTGTATCCCCTTGATCTCCTTTAGTTGTCTTATTGCTCTGGCTAGGACTTCAAGTACTATGTTGAAGAGATAGAGAGAGAGGTAGACAGCCTTGTCTTGTCCCTGATTTCAGTGGATTGACATAAGTTTCTCTCCGTTCAGTTTGATGTTGGCTATAGGCTTGCTGTATATTGCCTTTACTATGTTTAGGTGTGGGTCTTGTATCCCTGATCTCTCCAAGACTTGAAACATGAACGGTGACCAATAATGACATCACAGGTGACTAAGCAACCTTGGAGTGGGCTAGTACATTGACTTTTGAACTGACACTAACATTATATGTAAGAGTAGACATAGGCTAGTCCCAGTAAGTAGTTTTCAGTGCTCTGCGTAGAAAATAAAATTATTTTTATTGTACCACATAGAGACTTGGTTAATGAAAAACAACGGTGCCTCATATTCTGCTTTCCCAGGTGAAATTGCTATACAAAGTCTGTGAATCATGATACCTGAGTCAATCTGGCATAAATCTACCATTTCTAGTGTAAATTGCAGTATAGCTGAGAAGGTGATACATGATACTACATGATGTTAGAGTTGGGTGTGCTACCAGTAACAGAAACTAAAATAACAGGGTCCTAGAAATATTAATGGCATATTTTTTTTATGTTAAAGGAAAAGATGATGCCCTGCTTCTCGGCCTTTTGTCTAAGATGGAGTGTGGAAACGGTGCTCCACAAGTAGCATGAATGATCCAATCCATAGTCATTCTAACCCCAGACTCCTCCTATCATGGGATCAGCTGCTCTCAACATGTAACCTTCACAGCATATATTGTAAGATAGTTCTTCCAGCTCCAAGCATCAGCTCACTACCCTAGTGGATAGGAAGAGAAAGGGAGGAGATAGGAAGGTTCCCAGTAAGGAACCCCTTCCTTTTCTCAAGACAGCCTCCCAAGAGCTGAGATTATAGGAATACAACACCACATCTTGCCAGGATGTGTCCATTCTGCCATGTTCTCTTGTTAAGAAAAGAGTCACATGGCCATACCAAATTATAGGAAAGGCTAAAAATAATGTAGTCTTTATTCAGGTTGACCAGATATCTGTCCAGATAATCTTAAAGCGAAAAAGGAGAGGGAAAGAAAGTAGTCATATTTGCTGCAAACTATATTTTCCAAAAGTTTGCCTCTTTTGTATGTTATATTTTCATGTCTTAAAAATCTCAAAATACCATCCTTCCTTTCCCTTCTTCCCTTCACTTCCTACCTTTCCCCTCTCTTTGTCTTCATTATTCAACAGCACCTAATATAATGATGGGAAAGGAGGCTGCAATTAACAATTTCCATCTAAAAATAATCTGAAAGAATTGTGCTCTCTTCCTCGTCTCATCCCTTGCCCTCTCTGCTCTGTGCTGCCTCTGCTTGCCCTGGGACTTTTTGATTATTAAACTCCTGGTCACAGTGAATCTCATGTAAATACCACACCATCATGTTGTCCTGATGCTAAGGCCAGACTCTGCATTATTCAAGGGGCAGGTGACATTCGGTTCACAGAACAAACGACGTTCAGTTCTCAAAGAACCCTCACGAGGAGGTAGCTTGCCATCTGTCTGTGTGTGCTGCTTCTTTATAAGGGTCCTTATAGGCAGGAGGAAATAGGTTAGAAGATTCCATGTGGAAAAGTATGGAAGGCTTCCCAGAGGAAGTTGCATGTTGGCTGACACTGACAATATCACGTAGGCTTTAACCAGAAAAGAGACAAGAGGTTACATTCAGACACATTTGTGAAATGGCATACAGAGAAGGCTGAAAGCCAGGCATACTGGGGCAGACAGAGCTGTTAACAGGGAGCCCTGGTGTGCCTCACACAAGGTCCCCATTGCTTCCAACGAAGTTCCAAGCCACTGGGCAGGTGGGAGGGAGTAGAGATGGAATTCAAACTGGTAGGCAGAACTACAGCCTTGTGCAAATCTCTCCATTCCTTAATCCCCACAACCTGTGACCATGAGAGGCTGGGTGACAAAAGGAATTAACATACCAAATGGAGTTACAGTGCCCACCTGCTGACCTTAAAATAGGGGCCCTGTTCTAGATGACCATGGTGAGATGGGCCTGGGGTGGTCCTCAGGATCCTTGAATATGGCAGAGGGAGGATGAAGAGCTTTCAGCAATTTGGAGGAAGCAGGACTGCCTGCAGTTGTTGGCTTTGAGGATGGAGAGAGCTAAAACCAAGGCCACCAGGGTGTCCCTCGGGAGGTAAAATAGTCACAGAGGCAGTATCCCTCAGAGACCTGCTAGAAAGGAACACAGTCCCACAGTCACCATGATTTTCACTCAGTGAGACACATTTCAGACTTCTAAACTAGAGAGTTAAAAGGTAAATCCATGGCTATTTGAGCCACTAAGCCTGTGGCAATCCATGATAATAGCACTGGGAAACATACACAAGCGGAGCTGCTCTAACCCCTGGCCTCCTGTTCATATCCCCTTTTTCTACATGCCTTAACTTTAAAGAAGCTAAACTAGGAACTTTAAAAACTAAAATTGAATTCCTTTTATAATTCTCAGTTTCTTCAAACCTCATGTAGCTAAGGGTACACATATTTTTGCTTGTGCCTCTTAGCTTGGTGAAGTTTGAAAGGATGTGGTCATGGCCTTTGACATCAGAGGAGGAAGCTCAGAAGTGAGGCTGGCTGATCTTGATAGAAAAGATAAGGTTAGAGGCAAGTCGCCTTTGAATGACTCTCTAAAGATCAACTGCATCCTGCCGCATTCCCGGCTGTTTCTCTCCTTGGCTTGCACTAAGGGGTGATGCTCAAGACGCATCGCATTTCAGAACTGGACCATGAACAACTTCATCCTCCTGGAAGAGCAGCTGATCAAGAAGTCCCAGCAGAAGAGAAGGACCTCTCCCTCGAACTTTAAAGTCCGTTTCTTTGTCTTAACGAAATCCAGCCTGGCGTACTTCGAGGATCGCCACGGGGTATAAAAACACTTGCTTTTGGCTTACTGTTTTGTGTTTGGACTGACTTGTGGGATAAACTTGAACACCTAGAAAACAGACACATTGCATTTAGCAGCCACAGAGCAGAGTTAGAGAGCTCGGAGCAAATGTGGAGAGTTCTGAGGGTCAGGTGTTGGTTAGACTTGGCTATTTCAGTTCTAAAATCTGAAATATGGAGGTCCAACTCCTCCATTTTTCTTCTCCACAAGGTTGTATTTAATTTTCAAGCATAGAAATATTTTATGTGGTGAGTGTTGCGTATAGAACTTGAAGTTCATGTGCAGGTGTAGTATGCGGTATTTATAGGCTGTATGGGCAGTAAAGATATTAATTATTCTCATTAGGACAAAAGGGGCAGTTTAGCCCAATTTCCGTGCTTTACAAAAGAAGTGGTTTTTAGAATGGTGAAGGGGAGGTCTTATGTAAAATTTCTATGAGTTGACCTTTCCTTGTCTCAGCGGTCATCACTCCTCCGAGGCCATAGGGTCATATTTCCACTCATGTAATACTCTAAAGTTGTAAAGCACATGGCAACCTTCTTGGCCCATTGTAAAAATGTCTCAGGAAACTAGGGGTATGGAACACAAAGTTTCCAGGGGTCCTTCCTAGAGTGTGGCTGCCCAGCTACATGTGTCTAAAGACATCATCATATTGTACAGCAGCAGTGGCAATAAAATCAAGTATGTGTTAATAACACAGTTTTATAGAAGCACTTCGTGGGAGGTCAGAATGTCACTGTGCTTCCCACTGAGTGAGTGATCCTGGGAATATGTCCTTCTTCATCAGACTCCTTTTCTCTGTAAATAAAAGGACAAGACATCAATCCCAAGTTCCATTCTTTCAGAATCCTCTGTTTGTCTGCAGTGGCTCTTGGTTAGGCCTCCTCGAGCACTTTTTAATGCTTGTTTGATTTATTGTCACATCGTTGTATTATTTTTGCAGGGCAGAGATGAGTACTTAGGTTTTAATTTGTTTGTCACTGAGACAAAGGTGCTTCAGTTCCTTGTTAGTGTCTCATTAGAAGATCCCCAGAGTAAGATCCAGTCTTTGAAGCTTTCCATGAACTTGGAGCAGATCACCTGGTGGGGGAATGACTAGCCTTTTTAGTTTTAGGTAAAATAATGCTGCCCCTCTCTTGCACTTTTTCAGTAAAGAGAACCACTTGCCTTCAGCAGGGTCTCACTGATGGTTTAGAAAGCAATGGAATTATATATGTGCAGGCACCAGCTAGGTGCTAAGCTTTGGGCTTGGAGGATTCAGCACATAGAACTAATAAATCACATGACATCAACTCTGTGTTTCTGTAAATGAAACATGAAGATCACATTTCATAATGAAAGCATAGTCATGCACCTTTAAATAACTTTTCTCTAAATAGACTGTACAGTTTCACCAGTTTTTAAAAATGGTTTTAATTTTTGAAATTATAATTTCATTATTTCTCCTTTTTCCTTTTCCCTCCAAACTCGTCTGTGCATCCTTTTTTTTTCTCTTTCATATTCATGATCCCCTTTTCTAAAATTGTTGATTTTGATGGTGTTGGTGTTGGTGGTGATGCATATTTGTGACAATGTCACTATACAACCCCAGATGGAACTTGACATCTTCTAGCCTCGGTCTCCAGAGTGTCTTGATTGTAGGTAGGTGCCACCATCCGCACCTCACCGCTTAAGAATCATTAAAAATCTCTAGCACAAGCTGGATATGGTGGTGCATGCTTGTAATCCCAGCACTAAAGAGCCTGAGGCAAGAGGATGATTACTAGTTCAGGGGCAGCCTAGGCTATTTGGTGAATTCCAAGCCAGCCTTGGCTACATAGCAAGACTTGATCTTGAAAAAAACAAACAAAAAGAATTAAAAAGAAAAAAGAAAAATTCCATGGAAAGAACTCATTTTGTAGCCCTTGGTTGTGGTAAACATATGTGTGCACGTGTGTGTGTGTTATTTAACATTTTGAAACTTTTCTTCAAACATTACAGAAATTACTTAGTTAATATCCAAGGTCACTGAGTTATTGTTGTATATGACCTGCATATAATATATGGCCCAGGGCCACGAATGAGCACAAAACAGTGCATCATTTGTAAGTAATACTACACTTGTGTGAAGAATGTTTTTGGGTTTTTTTTTTTTTTTCAATAAAAGTTTCAATCCTCATCATCTGTGAAGTGGGTATAATGATATTTCATGATGAAAACATGGCCCAGACACAGGCAATGTGTGTGAGCTGAGCTATTGAAATTATCATTTGGCAAATAGAAAAAAAAAAAGCCAGACGTTGGCAAGCTCACACAGCTCAGTTTAAGATGTAGCATGCTCTTGCCCCCTCAGCACCTAGTAAACATTCACCATTATTTGGGTCACGTTTACCTCTCCGAGGGAACTGGCAGGGTACCACAAGTTATCATCTTCAGATGATGGGAAAGGTTAGAGGGAGTGATCAAAGCCAGGTAAGAGGAGAGCCCTTGATGGGAGATGCACAGCCATTGAGAGCTACGCAAGCCGGGGTCACCCCTACTAAGCTCTCAGCTTCTTTTTCTTGTTTCTGCAGATGGGCAATTGTGTTCCTTAAAGTTCAGGTCTTCTGTCAGACTGTAACACTATGTGAAAAATACACAAGGACAAATACTATCATTTTACAAATCAAGTGTTCAGCTCAACTGCAGATATCCGTGCCCATTGCCTTACACTCTGAATGGAGCAAACGTCTATTTAAATATGAATATGGTTTGGGGGTTGTATGGCAACCTGCATGAACTGTGCTGTGAAAGTGGTTCTGTGCTCCCAGAATCTTCTTCATCCTACTGAAACAGTGGATCAGCTTGGGAGTGGTGGCATTTACATACACATAGCTTCAGACGCTCCCTGCACATGCCAGGCCTTTCGTAAAGTCTCTGCTATCTGCAGTTCCTTAGCCCAACAGCATGCTGGTAAAATGTGACAGTGTGTTTGTAGAGTTGAGTTGTGGAGCCTTGATTTGTAGCTTTGTTGACTTCCTTGTTATAGATAACTCCTTTAGGGAGCTGGGCTGTAGGGCAGTTAGGAGAGTATTTGCTTTGCATGCATGAAGCCAAATTCAATCGCTAGCCCCGCATAAAGTAAGCGTAGAGGTGCACAATTACAACCCCACACTCAGGAGGCAGAAAAAGAGAATAAGAGGTCCAAGGTCATTCTCAGCTATACAGTAAGTTTGAGGCCAGTCTTCAATGCATGAGAGCCCACTTCAAAAAAGAAGAATCCCTTTGGCTATTTCAGTTAATTAATGTGGATCATAAATTCCTGAAAATGTAACCACTTGCTCTCATAGCCCCGTATAAGCCAACCCTAACAAAACACTGGAAGACTTAAGTACAGTCTCTGGGGAAGTTGGTGACAACTAAACCATAGGGGAAAGGGAAAGGTCAGAGGGCCCTTAGCATGAGATTTGGAAGGGGCATCGTAGATGGAGACAAGCATTGCAGGCTGGAAAAACCAGTGTATCTGGTAAGAGCTGGGTTCAAATCCTCCTACCTCTCTCACTTTGTAGGTGTGGTATCTCAGGCAAGGCATATCATCTGTTTAAGACATTTTCCTGTTTGCAAAGCCAGGAGCCTAACGATTCTCCCTGTCTCACAAGATGCTGAGTTCCTCCTAAGAAAAGTGTTTCTACCAGCTTTATGCTCATTTTGTGACATGGCAAGATGGTTATTACCCACCAAGCCCTATCATGATGGGTTCTAAGAGACCCCAGGAAAAAGAAGGACTTCTTATTCTAACGTACTTTAAGAGTCTATCTTGTGCTTCCAACAGAGTGGGATATATTACCCCTGATGAGGGTCAAAATGAACAGTCCAGATCACCACCCCAGCTGCTGCCCAGACGAGGGTCTCTGCTCCATGAGCTGCAGTATAACACATACAGAGTTCCTGAATGAAAGAGGATGGCGGAGATGGTACCATCTTTCTTTTTGGAACCATTATACAGCATCCTCAAAAACACAGTTTCTGATATCAGACAGATCTGGCTCAAAGATCAGCTCTACCACTTGAGCTGTGTGACTTGCTGTAAACCACATAAGACTGTGAGATCACAAAACCATGTTTCTGAAAGACGGAATGTTTCTTTTTTGTTTTCTTTTTAATGATGTGGGAGTCACCATTATTCTAATAACAAACAGTGACTAACATCGACTGGGCACTTCCCATGTGGTGTGCGTCCAGGTGGTCCGTCTTGAGTAAACACTACAATCATCCTGTTAGTAGGAACTGTTATTCCCTCTTTTATAAATCAGGGAAGAAAGTGAAAGGGTTTAAATAACTTCCCTGAGGTTCCTTATGTCTCCAGAGCTTACACAGTCATCTGGTCATCACAAAATGCCGTGTGCTCTTACTCCTTAATGGGTTCTGACCAACCACACCTTGTGTTCTCCGGGTCTGCCCCGGTGAAGCACATTACGAGCTCTGTCCCTTCTGTGCACACTCCAGGGCAGAGGTCTCCCCAGCTCACCGTCTAGAGCTCTCTTCCACGTCTCAGATAGCAAGACTACACTCGCCACGTTCGCTTCTCAAGTTGCTGCAGTCCACCTCCACTTCCGCATGTCTCATCTAACACTGTAGCTCCTAAGATGGACACCTCCCTCCACTCCCTCTGCACTCCACACAACAGCCGGGTGAGTGCTCACGTGGTGACTGAAGCCGTTGGCATGGTTCTCATCATAAGCAGATATGCTTGACAGTGTTATTCCCGTTGACGCGGGTCGCCAGAACCTAGCGCGCATGTCACTCTTTGTCTTCTCTCTGGGTACCAGTCTCACCACACCTGGTCAGCCCTAAATGCCCCTTCCTTAGAGAAGCCTTCCTTGAATTCTTTGGACTGGGTCAAGCTCTTATTATGTTCTGCCGTAGCAACATGGACCCATCAGGGTCCATGCCAAAGTCATACTTGCCCATTTACTAATGTGAGCCTCCATTAGGCTAAAGCTTCATAAGCACAGGTATCTTATGATTCCATCAGTTTCCACAATGCTTCCTGCCTCCTGACATTCACTAGCCTTTTGTTTGTTTGTCTCATTTTCTTTTTTTTTTTTTTTTTTTCTTGTGGAGGGAATAGGAGAAAAGAAGAAAATATATGTCCCACATGGGAGTAGTGTAGCGCAAAAGAGCCTGGTTAAAAAAAGGCTCAATACTCAAAAGAGTAAATGCACAACATAGAAGATCAAAAGGGAGGGTTTGGGATATAAGAATAAATGAAGAAGATTCCATGAAAGGAATAGTTATGGCCCTGTCTTAATCAAGAAAAGGAAGTTCACTGGTCGGCATTCTCAGCTAGGTCAGAGAGATACCGTGGAAAGCCCCCGCTGTTTCTGGAGAACCATCAGATCTGTGTTCCTTTCCCCGTCTCCCTGAAGTTTCTTTCCTGCCTCTGGGTTTACAGCTAGACCCTCTGCAGGCAGTATTCTTTTTCCTTTTTGCTT